GCTAGGGAACCTGTGCTGCACTAGACAGGCTGACTAATTTCCCTTTAAATAATCTCCCTTTAAATAGTCTGGAAGCACTCTAGTGAGCTTCTGTTTCAGGAGCCATAAGAACACAGCCACGACTGTGGTCTATATAAATAGCCAGATCCATGCTGGTAAGTAGCAAACAGCACAGTTATTTGTTCTAGGAAGATCTTCCTATTTTCTTCACGTTGTTGCATGGCTAGCTGCGATCAAATTCTGGTAACATTTCTGTATAGTCGTGGTGCTGCTGCCTTTTCTCAGACTGCCGTATCGTCAGTGACAGTGAGCAGCAACCCTTTGGAGACAGACTTCTATCTTCAGTGGCTTTGCATCTGAGTGGCAATAGGGCTGTGGCTTGCTGGGGTCTGTACAGCTGTTTTTAGCTAAAACAGTGCAGTTCAGACCCTTTTGATCAGTGCTGTGAGTTCAAAAATCTCACTGGTATTTATAGCATCTGAAAGGTGAAGGCAAGGAATATTTGAATACTTGCTGCCTAGCTATGGTTCTGGATAGAACATAGTGTGATGGTCCTGTCTGAGGAGGATGAACTTAGCTTATCTGTGCTGTCCTAACTTGGTAATCAGCACTGTTAAAAAAAAAAAAAAAGTAGTTAACCAAGTCTATGTTAGTTATGCTGGCTAATATAATCTTTTCTCTTGTAATATGGAAGAGTGGGAACTATTCTGCAGGTAGGTACATGCACTCTGCCACTGCATAAGCAATCTTCAGTTTGCCTCCATCTGGTCCTGAATTATGAAGACAGCCTTCAAAAACATAAGGATCTGATACATGGCCAATAGCCACTCTGGCGCTTTCCAACATTTAGGTAAATAGGAGAATCCTCAACGAAGAGTGCAGCAAGTCTTGCCTCAGCTGAGGTAGGAGGCATTTGAATTTCTTACTCATAGTGTATTGTCATCTTCTCCCTGCCATCCTACCCACTCAATGCGTCAGAGATCTAAGGCTTGATGTTTTTTTTTTTTTCCCCTACCCCCCTTTTCTTCCCCCCCCGCCCTCTGGTGAGCAGAGGATATTCAGGCCTTCAGTTTCTGGTGCATACTGTCAGAGATCCTTTTTCTTTCTTTCTTTTTTTTTTTTTTTTTTTTTCCCCCCCTCCCCCTCTGCTCTGACATAATTCCCCTGAGCCAGTGGGTTTTTACCAGGGTAAATGAGTTCACAGGAGAGGCTTGGTGCAAGAGGACCGAGGGCTGAGTGGGTCTGAGGAGAGGAAGAAAGACTATGTGGGGGCATAGTACAGACCAGTTACATAGAGGCAGCTTCCCTAAATGGCCCCTCATGTTTGCCTTCCTAACGTTGCTTTTAAGTCACTGTACAGATGACAAGATTTTTGCCTGGCCAGAAATCCCACGCGATGCGGTGGGACATCATTCAGACTGTTCTTTAGTCTTACAGGGGGAGGGATGTTCTCTTTCTTTCTCTTTTCATGCTCAGTGCTTACCATCCTCAAATAGGGGCACAGCTGGGGTCAGGGATTGCCTTACTGTGTCGTTTATATGGGGTTTTAAGCTCATATTTGGCAAAGCAGAAGTTCTGTGCTGGGTTTTGGAAACACCATCAACAAAGACAGTAGTGGTCTTCTGAGGGAAAATACTATAATGTTTGATTATCAACAATCTTCTGAATTACAAAGCAAACCCACAAAAATCCCAGCCTGTGAATTTAATTAAAAAGAAAAAACAAACCGCAGACAGCTTTTTCATTAACTGTATTTAGTGTAGTTACCTTACGTCACTCCAGTAAGATCAACCGCGCTGTTCCTGGGGTAAGTCTGGTCTGTGTTGCCAGCTAATATGCAACACGTGGGTTCTTTTTGGAAAAACACAAGAAAAACACAAAGCTGAAAGTAGCAGAAATTATGTTTCAATGCAGGACAGGTTCCACTGAGCAGGGAGGGCAAAAAGCAGTGGAATCTGCCCTGTCACATTTTGCAGGGCTAAGGGTGGGTCAAAATGCAATGCATTTTGTCTTCTTCCCCCTAGCACGATGGCTTCATTTCCTGTCTTGAAGCAAGAGACGTTGTTCCAGAATGGTAGCTGGAGCTATCGAATTCCAGCCCTGCTCTACCTGCCGCGTTTCAGCATCATCCTGGCATTTGCTGAGGAACGAGAGGATGTGGTGGATGAACATGCCAAGCTAATAGCGATGCGCAGAGGCGTGTATGACCCAACCACGCACCATGTTCAGGTACAGTGTGGGGAGAAAATGGGGGAGACTGCCCACCTGTACTGCTCCCCTGTCCCCAAATGAGTTGAAAGTGTTAGCCCTCTCGCTGTAGGGAGAGGGCAGCTTCTCCCCAGTTATAGGGAACAAATCTGCTTATAAGTAATGCATGTGTCATTATAACTGCTGGGATTCAACCCCATGATTGGGCAGCTGTTAGGGGGACTAAAGCAGGCAGGTGCAGAAGATTTTCTGGGGATGGCTTCGACCCATCATAGCAGAGCTGGGGAATCAGATAGAGAGATGGGACAAAAGTCCTGTTGCGACAGCAAAGATGTGGAGGAGAGGCAGAAATGGGGAGTGCCAGAGGGATGGGGAGGAGTGAATTAGCAATCAGTGACTTTTTTTTTTTTTAAATTCATCTTCTTAGGACTAATTTCTGGTTTAAAAAACAATTGAGAACAGCTAGTTTCCCCACGCATAAGAGTGTCGTCTGGTTTGTCTGTGCCAGTGAATTGGCTACCTTATTTTTTTACCAGTTATTATTAACAGTTATCTCAGTTATCTTGCTGGGTGGCTGGGGGTGGTGGATACTCTATTTATAATCACTTTTTGCATTTGCAAATGCATGAATGTCTTGGCGGGGGGAAATTTATATTTTTCTGTTCCAATCTTTCATTGGTGACTGGTTGTCTTAGATTATAGACTCTTAAGAGCTGGAGTCTGCCTAGCAGAAGCAGCCTCTGAGCACACCTGCAGTGTCATACCATTCAGGTAACATCCTGTGTAACCCCCTGTAATTCAGTTAAGTAGGGCACAGTTGGTCATAAACTTATTAATTTGTGTTCACATGCTAGAGTTTCTTAAAATGGAAATATTAAATATTCCAAAAAAGTTAATACTGGTTGAATAGACAAAGATAAGACATGACTAAAAAGGGTAATCAGCAAGTCAGGGTAGAAAAGCTAATTAATATAATCTTACTGGAAAATACTGCTTCTTTTACCAAGCCAATAACACTATGTAGGAATAATTTTCTAATTGCAGTGTTAGTGTTAGAAATGTGATTGTGTTATGTGCTATTAACTTAAAGAAAGACAGCTTGGAGGGTAGTTATACCTGCTCTGCGACCTGTTTTCTGTGTCGGACAACTCGGGGTCCAAATTTCCACACCAGACTGTGTAAAGCCATGCAATCAGCTCTAGCAAGGTGCCTCAGTGTAGGCTGGGATGCCCATTCACACACGGATCAAAATGGAGGAATAGGAGTCTGAATGGAAAGCGATTCATCAGCATCCAGGATACCTGAAAAGGACTCAGTTATCTAGCTGACTTCCTCCACACTTTGACCACTGGTCACATCTCTGTGTCATATATATATATATTTGTGAGAATTTCTGAAAATTCAGCTACTGTAGTTTTATAAACAGTGTCATCAGACACTAGCTGCATTGAGAAACAGAGCTATCAGCTCCTCAGTGAGTAGTAATTAAAAAGGACATAACCCACCTGTTTGGTGAAGTGCACATGCATCTTATCTTCGCTTATATTTGGCAATGCCAGTATATTGTCTTCCCATTTCTTGCTCTATGCACTAACTTGCTTCTCTTCTGTTCTTCTCGTGCTCCTCTGTAACTTTTATCCAGGCATCCTTACACTGTAACATGGATCTATTTGTAATGGTGTGTTTCATTCTTGTCTCCCTTCACACGGGCCCTGGCAGTGGAATAGCATGAAGACCATTGTCAGTGCGCAGCTGAAAGACCACCGATCTATGAACCCCTGTCCTGTTTATGATGAGGTCTCAGGGAAGCTGATCTTGTTCTTCATAGCCGTCCCAGGAAAGATCTCTGAGCAGCATCAGCTCAGAACAAAGATCAACCTGGTACGTCTCTGCTATGTCACTAGCATGGACCAAGGACGCACCTGGAGCACTGCCCAGGATGTCACCGATGATGCCATTAGCACTGAGTACAAGAACTGGGCCACTTTTGCAGTGGGGCCTGGTCATGGATTACAGTTGCTCAACGAGGCCCGGAGCCTTGTGATTCCTGCCTATGCCTATCGTATCTTGGACCCTAAGCAACACCCCACCCCTCATGCCTTCTGCTTCATCAGCTCTGACCACGGGACAACGTGGGAGATGGGGAACTTCGTGGGGGAGGAGAGTGCAGTGGAGTGCCAGGTAGCAGAGGTGCACACCTGTGGCAGGAAGGTCCTCTACTGCAATGCAAGGAGCGGCAGGGGAGCCAGAATCCAGGCTGTCAGCTACAACCACGGGGTGGACTTTGAGGGAGGCCAGCGGGTTGAAATGCTAGTAGAACCTCCCTCTGGATGTCATGGAAGTGTTACTGCCTTCCCACCTCCCCCTGATGCCAGATGCCAAGATAGTTGGTTGCTCTACACTCATCCTACAGACCCAAAGGGTCGAAGAGATTTAGGAGTTTACCTCAACAAAAGCCCTTTAAATCCAGCACACTGGACAAAACCAAGCATCCTCTTCAAGGGCCTGTGTGCTTATTCGGATCTGCAGTACATGGGTGTTGGGCCAGATGGCTCACCCTTGTTCTCATGCCTCTTTGAATATGGGACCCACCAACAATGTGAAGAGATAATCTTTGTAATGTTCACTTTGAAGCAAGCCTTTCCATCAGAGTGCTGAGTCTCGAGCTTTTCCATCAGCATCCCTCTGAAAACCACCTTTGCTGATACTTCTTTTCACTGACACTTCTCATCTTTCAGCAAAAGGTTTTTTTTGTACTCCTCCTGCACCCTTAGTTTGGCGTTGGCTTGTGGCGTCTGTAGATTACGAAGTCTATTAAACATACTAAAACTGAACATGTGTTTGGTTTTGTTTTCTGTTGCCTGTTCTTCCTTCTCGCCTTTCCCTTTGGCTGCCATCTTAAACATCACGTGCTCAAAACAAGCATGACCTTTGATAAGGCCTCTCACCTTGAGGCGTCCGATAGACTTAGTAGGGACGCACACACTGACAGCGTAGGGACTGCCTGGGAACAGAGGGCAGCGATTTTGTGCTGAACTGTATTTAGTAAGTTGTGGAGCAGTTGCTAGAGAGGATACTGGGCTTATTGCCCTGTATCTGCAGTTACCTTCTTCAGAGAACTGCTTTGGCTCTGGTTAGGTGCGCTGCTTCTTGCAGTCAGCGTAGGTCTTGCCAGCAACTCCAGGGCTTGCTGTCTTCTCGTTTCAGCAAGGCCATGGGGTGCCTTGCTCACTTCTGCAGTGGATTTGGGGTTGCCTTGCCAGGACCCCAGGGACTTCTGTCTAACAGCCTTCTCCTTACTTCCCATGCTGTATGTTCTTGCTTATTTGCCCTTTTGCTTACACTGCACCGAGAAGCTGCAGTTTCTCATGTGTAAGAAAACCACAGCCTCATGTGCTCCAGCTGTTCCCTCTCCCTGGGCAGAGAAAGCAGGACCCATGCAGGACACCAGGACCTCCTCCCCATGTTTGGGGACAGGGCAAGCGGCAGAAATGGCATTTTGCCTGTATCGAAACTGCAGGATCAGGACAGGTCTGCAGAGGGAGCTCCCAATTTATAGTCAGGCGGGGAAATATTCACTGGTCGTCTTAACACAAGTGCTAAGCTTGTCCACACAGCAACTGCTCTTATCGCTGACAACCCAATGTCTTGCAAGCGTGGCTGTTGTTATTACAGAGTATATGGGGCAGTGTGTCAAACAAGTAACGTTGCCCCACTTCAAACAAATGGCAAAGTCACAGGTGTCAGAGGAAGGGGACCTGACGAAGCGCAGAGCAGCATGGAAAGCTGGAAGGCTTTCCAATGTAGACAGATTTTCAGCAGGTTTTTGAAGGAAACAGCCCCAGTTTTGGTGAGAGAGAGACTTCTCTGAGGCTACGGTGTGATTTGAAAGGAGGCGTTATGCAGTGAGTAAACGAGGGGAGTGACCAGAAATGAATGGGTGCCAAGGGAGACACATCAGAGCAGATGGAGCTAGGAAAGCCTTACCTATGCCTCTGGACAAAATTCTGATTTATGAACCAGTCTGTGCTTGTTTGCTGTGTGCTGTATTCTGTGTGTGTGCACGTGTGGAATGGCTCCAAGGAAAATATGTTTGTTTGCTCTATTGGTGAAGAAAAATACCTGCTTTCCAGAGCGCTTTCAGAACGCGTCCCCTTTGGGGAACGCTAGCAGGTCCCATAGGATCCTTTGCGCTGTCACTGCTCAGGTCTGCGAGTCTCTGGTTGCTCAGTGTCCCCACCCTTGCCTTTTATTGCTGATAGCTTTCAGGAGTAGTGGGAGAAGGGGCCCTGATTTTTCTCACTAGGTTTGTTTCATAGCACCTGGAGGATGCAGGTACCAAGGGAGCGAAGAGATCTCGTGGCCTTCACAAATACACCTGTAATTTGCCAAGCCTTCCCCAAGCAGCAGGTCAGTAACATGCTGGGCTGGAGTAGCACAGAGTGGCTCACCTAACCAGTACTTTGTGGGTATTACTCATGGGCTCTTTAGATGTAGGCCAGAGTCTAAATACACCTTTGTGGCCAATAGCCTGTTACTGATGCCTAATGAGGGAATGTTATATTTAGACTTCAGCAAAGCTAACTGCTGTCCTATAGACTTAACCTCCCTCATCAGGCATACTATGAAATACTTTTGTTTCAAGACATGAAAATGCATATTCGAGAACTTTTCATCTGACCAAGCCTGGCAGTGCCCGTGCTGACGCAGTGCACAGGCTGGATATATGTGTGGGGGTTTTGAGTGACCACTGTGCATCTTGAATGATGCTACAGACGGTATTTATCCACTGGTTCTGGACAGGCTGGTAAGTTCACAGCCAGCTGGTACAATACTACCTGGACATCTGTAGCAAACCCAGTTTAGATAAAGTGTTTATTGCAGTGTCTGAGAAACAGCTTAGAATAATACCCTAAGATGGGGAAAAATAATATTTGCTTTGTCTGCTAGGGCTGCAATTTTTGATTATCCAACATCGAAATGTGTCCCAGTTCTTTGTCTGTGGCCTCATTCTCTCAAGTAAGTTTAAATGAAATACTGCTGCTGCTGCAGTTATCTAAAACCTTCTGTTGAGTCTGGGTTGGATTTGTCTGACAAATGTACCCATTATTCTTTTGTTTTACAACAGTAGCTCTTACACGGTGCTTTGTCCCGACTGTGGGATGACAGTGTAGGCTACTCGAAGCACATCCTATTCCTTGTGGAAACCTTCGGGCTGTGCTGGCTACATTTGTAGTATCACCTGGCATGTAACTGGTGCAGGCGGATTACTACGCTCCCCCACTATGGCAAACACTCTAGCTCCTCTCTAGATAACTTCTCTAGTCTCTTCTTCCTCAGATCTAGTCACCAGCCTTCTCTGACACAGGCTCGAATGGAAAGAAAAAGAATAGTACAAGTATCTCCTGCAGAACAGCCTATTGTCTCTGTGCAGGACAGAAGAAGTTACCACTGTCCTTTGGGAATCAGGTAATTCAGGATATGCACACGCTTGTGTGCTGGCCACGCAGGGATTGGTCTTTCTCCAGCGCTGCAGAATTCACATGCCAGCACCATCAGAAGTAAAACAGATGCCATTTCCTCTTCAGGCAGAGTTGCGAATGACCCATTAGGGATCACAGAGCTGTTTATGTTAGGGGATTGGGATTCACCTTTTGAGCAGCTGGAGCTGTTGTGTGCTTTCTTTTAGGACCAAGAAATGCTCACAGAAACCAGCCTGCACATCTTATTGCGACAATCATCACACGTGTTTGGATCCCATCCCCTTGTTTATGTCTCCAAGTCAAGGAGTTGTGTGTGGCTGGACAGGGGATTCACACATTTGAAGGAAATAGCAGCAGCTTGCTAAAAACTGAAGTTGGTGGCGGGATGGATAGGAGTTAAGTGTTAAGTATACAGCTAATCAGTCTCAGATGTCTAACCAGGGCTTGTACCTTTCTGTTACCTTGTGTTAACTTGCAGTAGATCAGGAGAAGCTCTCCAAACACAGTTTCACTCCAGCAAAACTCATGTTGTGCAGCAGCTCTGTCCACTCTGCATCCACATATGGGTCCGTTGCATGGAGAGCACTGTGAGGTCAAGCAGTGGTTTGACATTCAGAGCTGTTCTGCTTCCTGCTACAGCTGTGCTCCAGAGAAGCTTCTATAAGTATCAGAAATCCCAAGGAGCTGGTACAGGTGAGGTAGCAGCACATTATGGCTGGGCAGGACTGTCAAAGGAGCTGCACAGTCCCTTTGCCACATGCAGACACTCTTCTTGGTGGGGAGAATAGGGTTTGTAACCACTCTGTAGCTTACAAGAGCTTACAGCTACTGTCCATGCAAAGCCACTTCATGGCATTCAGCATCTGACTATTTAGGCACCTGAATCTATGGGAGTTTGGCTCCTAAAGCCCTATGTGGAACTGGGTGAAGCTGAAGGGCAGGTCTAGCTGAGCTAATTTTGGTCTGTAGAGAGTGCTTGCTCAGCATGGACAGGAAGCCCTGCACATTGCAGTTCTGCCCATTTAACTAGGTCCTATGCTGGCCACACAATTTTGAATTGCTGCTGCCCACAGTTTAATCTCAATGGCAGAGACTAAGCTGGACACTGCAGAACAGATGTCTGGATAACTGAAAGCACCAGGAAGGCCGGCAGGGAGGAATGCTGGGTTATACTGGTTCACTCTCCCTCTCTGTACCCACAAATTCTAGTCTCTCCCAATTTGGTGATAGGCTGCTCTCTCCTGCCTTGCTGTCCATGCTGTGTACAGGGGCAGCACTCCATACGTGATCCAGGTACCGTGGCTCCAGCACTTCTCCTAGCTCTGGGAGGTGAGGGTTGCATAGGGCTAGCAGTGCCTATGCCTTTCCTGGGAACTCTCTGTACTCTGAGTCCCAGGCAGAGTCCCAGATCAGCTGCTGCTTTTAGATACAGCTCAAACGTGGATGGGCAGAAGTGCTGCCTTCAAAGGCAGAGTAGTTGGAGGTACAGGATAGGCAGCCAAATTTGCCATGCAGGCAGTGCCCCAGTAGCAATGTCCTTGCTTGCTGCAAACGTGTCCCTTGTTGCTTTGCCTTGGAGATGCAGCACTGAACATGCCACACAGCAGAGACAAAGGGCAGATGTACAAAGAAAAGGGAAGTGAAAGCTCCAGTTCTTCCCTCTCTGACGCAGGTTGCCAGATGTAGCTTTGCTCCATCCCACCTTTGGGGATTTGGAGTAGGAAAAGGTCTTTGAATCCATCTCAGAGTAGCTGGCTGGGAGCTTTGGTCACAAATCCCCAGAGCAAATCAGCCTCTAAGTCTGCTTCTGTGCATGGAAACATGCACAGGTAATTTTTTTTTCAGTTCTTTGAAGTCCCCTCCTCACACCTAGTGCTAGATATGAGGACTAGACAAGGCAGGAATGGGGCACTCAGTGCTAAGTATCCTAATGCACAGTGTGTTTCTGATCACTCTGAGATTTATTTATTCCCCATGGAGACCTGTAGTGGGTAGGACAGACAAACAGGAAAAAGATGGAAACTCAAAGGGTCTGGCAAGAGATCGTAAATGGGACAGCAGGCCACCAAAGCCTGGGGGACTGAATCGGTGGGGGAGCAGAAGAGATCCCCAGCTGGGACTTTTTGATACGGAGTATTAGGACATGAAGGGGGAAGGAAAGGCAGGGAACATGGG